TGTGTGTGTGTTTGTGTGTGTGAAAAGATGAATCTCCCCTGGAACTCAAAATTCTCATCTATATTGGACTTAGAATGTGTTGGCATTTTTTCCTAAGGAGGTATGAACACACATCTGTGCATCCCAGATAGGGCATTGACAATAAACTGAAGAAACAGCACATCCAAGTCTAGCTTGGTGTTCCAATGAGTCTACTGGGGTAGACTACTTCAGGAGCAGGCGGGAGGGGTTGTTTGCAGGAAAAGGGTGACAACTCACTGATGCTGGGTCTCTGAACTTCCTGCACAAGTTGCAGGCAATGTAGCGATGGATCTGAGGCTCTCAAGAGAAGAGAGCAGCAGTTGTTTCTGCTCTTCTACTTTGGGGGATGAGTCTTCTCATCTTTGAGCTGTCTGTGTCTCGTGAACCATCCTCTTCCCTCTTTATGTTTTAATTCTTTATTTTTCAATTTAGTGGAAGATGATTTAAATATTCCGTGTGTCAAATCCCACTGTACACATCCTTAATCCAGTGTCATATCTACCTGAGTTTCAGAAGAAGGGTGGATGGCATCAAAATTTTATATGCAAGTCCTGGGAAGATGGCTTCAGCAAAGTGTCCACCGTACATTGTGAAAGTCTGAACTGGAATCCTGCACTCACGTAAGGGCTCTAATTCGAGCACTAGGATGTGAAGGTGAGATAGGAGCGTTCCTGGAGCTCATCAGCCAGCCTAGCTGAATCAGTCAACTCTAGGTTCAGTGAGAGACCCTGACTCAAAAAACAAGGAGGAGGCTAATTGAGGAAGACACCCACACAAGCATGACTAAGCAAAGCAGGCACCATCAGGGGCAGGCTCCTATGTTAATGCACCTTCAAAAATATCCTTCCTGTAATTTTCAGCTAAACTTTTATGGTGCAAGCTGAGCATGTCCACAGGCATTTCTGTTCATCCTTGGAATCTTTCTTTGTTTGTTCATTTTGTTTTGTTTTTTGAGACAGGGTTTCTCTGTAGCTTTGGAGCCTGTCCTGGAACTAGCTCTTGTAGACCAGGCTGGCCTTGATCTCACAGAGATCCGCTGCCCTCTGCCTCTGCCTCCCAAATGCTGGGATTAAAGGCGAGCGCCACCATCGCCCCGCTCATCCCTGGTATCTCTGATACATACTCTGAAACTTTGAGCTAAACAGCAAAAATGTATCCACTAGCTTTTCCTTTGAAAATGGTAATCTTAAACTGAGCAAAATCTAGAATGTACTCCTAAACTGAGCATGCTCAGGAATTGCCCTCCTTTCTATGACTTTGTATAGCTCCCTATGTTGAATCTGCATGCTTCTCTTGTCTATGGAAAGCATCACTTTGGAAATGACTCCCTTGCTCTCTTTGCCTACTGCATGGAGGTAATGAATATTTATCCACTCTTTTGTGTCTTGACTGTGCTTATTTTGGCTTTGCATTCACTAAAATGTAAGCGTACTGTATGTGATCTCTCTCTCTCTCTCTCTCTCTCTCTCTCTCTCTCTCTCACACACACACACACACACACACACACACACACCATGGTGCTTAGCAAATTCTGCAAATTGATATATTCCATATTCCATCATTAAGACGCAAGGATTTCTAAAGGGAGGCTCATTAGACTTAGGAAGTCCCTGAGCTAACCAGATGCACCAGGCCCCTCTTTCCCCAAGCTTGTTTATATAAGCAATAAAGACTGCTGCGCGACATTCTTGGAGCAGCAAAGCTGCCTAGGAGAAGCAGAGAGCAGCCAGTCTTCTTTAATCTTCATTGATTAGCGGCTTGCATGTGGTACAGTGAGCCTAGCATCCCAGCTTTCATGAGCTATCATCGTCCGTGCCAGAGTTGGCTTTGGTGATGTAGCTGCCTTAGAGTCACGCTGCTCCCATAAGCAAATCCTCACCCATACCTGTAAGTAACCCCAATAAAACCCTGTGCTTCAGCAAGTAGGACTTTGGTATCTTTATTTTGTCTTGGATAACTATCTAGGGGTGAGTAAACATTTGTTCATGTCACCCCAGGAAGAGTGTCACCCAACACACACAAATCATACGTGCAAAGCTGTTTGTACTTAAATGGGTGTGTAGAAAAGGTGTGTTATGTACCTTTGGACACAGAAGCAGCCTAAAATCTGTTGAAGTCAGCACTGAATAAAACCCTTTCTCAATAACCTCCCCCCCCCAAAGAAAAGAAAAAAAATGTGCCTTCTGTTTTTTTATTTAGTGGCTTGTTAATAAATTAATAAGTAACCCGGGGCTGCTATTTGTTTGCTAGACCTAGTGTTTACTCAGCCCTTAAGGTTCAAAGTTCTTTTGCTTTAAGCTGCAGTTGCTTCTTTGATTCTTTACTTGTTTAAGGTCTGAAGTTTACTTTCCCGGCTGAGTTTTTAAGTAGGGCCAGATCCTTCAGAGGTGGTCCCCCAAAAGCAGAAGGAGGCCCCACAGCGTCCTTTTATGACTTGTATTTCTTTGTGAATTAATTTTTTTCTCCTCTCTCTTTGGAGGTTTTGCTACCACACTCCTGGGATTCTAGCTTGCCCCATTTATGAGTGGTAGCCTCTCTCTCCGATTTCAGCCAGCCATCCCCCTCTGTAAAGTGCCCTAAGGCTTGCACTCCTGCTTGAAGCAGACCCACCAGAGCAAGGAGGGCAGCATTGTAAGTTCTCCTGAGCACTCCCTAGAGCCCAGGGGCACTGGAAAGGCATTTTCCATTTCCGCAGCTGGCCAACCTCTCCAGCAGTCTTCAGGGGCATTCTTTCTATATACTGACTTGGTGAGGGGGATCTCTTTGAAAGAGCATGCTATTATCATAATGTCATACCTGTGAGTCTAGAGGAAGGTAAACACCATCTGGAGGCAGTCATGGTAGCTCACGCTTGTGATCCTGTTCAGGAGACAAGACAGAAGGATTATGGCGAATTCAAAGCCCTCTTCAGCTACATAGTGATTTTTTGGTCAATGGAGGCTCCATAGAAAGATCCTGATTTTTTTGTTTTGTTTTAGTGTGTGTATCTATGGAAAGAAAGAGACCATGTAAAGCTGTCGACCATACCTCATAGATAGTCTGCAGAAAGTGTGCTTTTTCCCTTCAGAGTCATAGCAAGCTGCTACTAGAAAGCTATATAAGAGGTACTGAATAGAGCAAGTTAGGAAGCCTATTCCTTAAGATTCAAAACAACACAAGGATCAAACGTGTAGAAAGCAATGTATAACCATAATGGGAACCTCAGTATGGGTAGCCTGATGAATGCCTGCGCAGGTAGAGTTGAGCAATTACTAAAATTAAGGTCATATATATTGTATATTGAGAAAACTTAGTTGTTCCCTTTTTTATCTAGAAATAGCACAAATTCTTTACTATATAATTTAGTATGCAAAATATGAATTTCCAGTTGCACGCAATTATGTAATTTTCTAAAAATTAAGTCGCATGTTGAGGCAGGAGAAGGCTCAGTGGGTAGTAAGGAACGGGGCCTATGGTGAGGGCTTCAGGTGTATGTTACAGTGGGAATGGAGAGTAAGGGTAAAAGGCAGTGGAAGGATTGAAGCACTGAATCCAGAAACACCAAGAAGAGGCAAAAGCATTGATGGCTGGGTATGAGATAGCCGAGTAAGCCTCAGACGCGACACAGGGGCTCTAAGAAGCAAGGACAGTGACAAAGGCTGGCTAGCTTTTCTGAGACTTTTCCCCTTTGTGAAGTAAATGCTAGGTACTGTTGACGTATTATATTACTACTTTTAATACATCAGCTCTAGTGTAGCTGATTATAATAGACTAAGTGGTAAGGGAGGATGACCCTTCCACTACCATTTCAAGAAAGAGACGCCAAACCATACTGTAGGCAAAAAGATAACCAAGAACACTGCAGCTGCTTTTTGGCAACTGTGAGAACAAAGAAAGTTTAATATTAACAGCACTTGGGACACCTGCAAGGTCAAAGGTAGCAAAACCAGCCAGTAAAAAAAAAAATAGCAGGCAGTCAAGAACAATTAGCACAGTCAGAGCGCTTAGTATAATTAACAAGACACCTGCAAAGTCACAAGGTAGTCATGCTGGCCAAGTGACTATCAACTAAGCCAGAGTTCGAGAGGCCTTCTACACCCCTAACCGGGTGAGCAGGACAGAAAACGTCAATCATCTCTCTGATTGAATCTGGGGGATGTGGCTCCTTTGTTGGCTCAGCTCATGACAGTCCAGAGAGTTAATCAGTCTTAATAGAGATTACCTCAGTCTGTCCAGTTTCTGTCACTGACCTGTAAAATGGCTGGACAAAGGATTTCAATGGCTTTTCCACCCTTTGGAAATCCCTCACAATTTTAGAAAGTTCCACTCACTTTTCCTCAATTTCTCACTTTTCTATAATTCTTTTTTTTAATATTTATTTATTTATTTATTATGTATACAATATTCTGTCTGTGTGTATGCCTTCAGGCCAGAAGAGGGCACCAGACCCCATTACAGATGGTTGTGAGCCACCATGTGGTTGCTGGGAATTGAACTCAGGACCTCTGGAAGAGCAGGCAATACTCTTAACCTCTGAGCCATCTCTCCAGCCCTCTATAATTCTTAGTAAATCCTACTTGCGCCAACCGCGGTGGCACTCACCTTTAATCCTGGCACTAAGGAGGCAGAGGCAGGCAACCTCTGAGAATTCAAGGTCTGCCTGATCTACACAGCGAGTTCCAGGACAGGCAGGGCTACACAGACAACTCTGGATAGAAAAAACAAAAAAATCAAACAAACAAAAATAAATAAAAATCCTACTTGCCATATTACACACTCCCACAAAAGTTCGAATTAGTAATTGTGTGGTACAACAGTGAGCTCGGAGCCACTGGCAGGACAACTTTTCATGAATGTGTCTGCCATCTCAGGTCCTCATTTCACGCACCAGTGGGCTATAAAAAGATCTCATTGATCCCAAAACCCTGCATCAATATAATGGATCCATGAGCGCAGTTTATCATATGTTAGCATTAAAATGATATATGTCGGTAATTTGATTTCAGCTTCCCGTTTGTCTCTAGTGTTTGCTTACAGAGTGGTAAGTAATCTGGAGGAGCGCTGTGCTCCCCACATGTGGTGTTTACTTAGTAATTAAACTTCAGACTTCCTCTTTTTGCCCTTTGGACATACAGCCACCATTAGCATCAAGTTTCGTTTTTGGTTTTTGTAGTTGTTTTTGTTCTTTAGTTTGTTTAGATTTTTTGTTTTTGTCTTTCTGTTTTAAAATTGTGTTTCTCTTTATGCTTGCAGCCACTAGAGGTTGTTTGTGGAATTCATATAAATACTCGTCGGGTGATAAATGGATACACATTTCTTTAAAAAGAAATGAGCTACTTCTGGAGCAAAACCTGTGGTGAACCTCTCAAGAGGTAGAGCCAACTCTGAAGGTCATTCTTCCCGAGGTGTCCTGGGGGCTTTTCTTCCTGTAGATCAAGATTCAGATAAAAGGACCCCTATTACCAAGAATCTTGGACAACAGAGGTCAATCTAGAGGTTGACGTTTCTACATGATGCTGGTGCTGTTGGCAGAGCAGATGAGGTGACTCTTTAGCTGATTTTGTCACTGTTGGCACACAGCCACCTCCGTGTGTGTCCTTTTGAGACATTCCCATTCTGCAGAGTGGGCCAAGCAGTCCTTTGTCCGCTATTGTGTCTGTGTGGCACAGGTCCTTGAGTTGATATCTTTTGTCCTTAGCAGCAGGTTTAAAATAGAAAGGAGTCTGGGAATCTGAAAGGTCCTCTCCTGGAGTTGGCTGTTCTGGCAAGTAATTCCTATAAGTCAGAAGCTGTGTAGAGCCGGGCGGTGGTGGCGCACGCCTTTAATCCCAGCACTTGGGAGGCAGAGGCAGGTGGATCTCTGTGAGTTCGAGACCAGCCTGGTCTACAGAGCTAGTTCCAGGACAGGCTCCAAAACCACAGAGAAACCCTGTCTCGAAAAACCAAAAAAAAAAAAAAAAAAAAAAAAAAAAAAAAAAGAAGCTGTGTAGAGAGAATATTTATGAGTTCCACGTTGACACCATGATCATTACTTGTGCAAAAATATTTGCATGAACATACATACACGTGTATTAATTTAACATAATTTCTGGACAGGGATTCTCTGTGTAATGGGCCTGGTTGTCCTGGAACTCACTTTATAGACAAGGTTGGCCTAAAACTTACTGAGATCCACTAACCTCTGCCTCCCAAGTACTGGGATTAAAGATGTGTGACACCACTGTTTGGCTTAATATAATTTCTTTATTGATTTTTTTTTTGAAATTTCACAGGTTATATCCTAATTCCACTCACTGCCCCCCCCTAGTCTTCCCATATCCAACTCTCACCCCTGAAGCACCCCCACCAAAGGAAAATTCTTAAAAAAATCAAAACCAACCAAAGAAAAACCTTTTCACTTCTCCATCTTTTCCACCTCTCCAACACCTCTTCATTCATCCTGGTGGCATGGGGACCCTCAATATATCACTTAGTACACCCTTTTGTCCAATCAGCTGTACTCGCAAATGTTCATTGCAATGAGTCACTGGTCTGGTTCAAGGCCTTTGGTTTCTGGTACACCATCTTCACTGGATTCTCACCAAGACTCCTCTCGGTTATCCCCAGCTGTCCCAAGTCATGGAGATCCTGCAGGTATCATTTGGCAGGACCAGTCCCTTTATGAGCTCCAGCAGGTCCTAGAAGGTGTAGATGGTAGGGTGGGCTAACCCAAGGCCTGGCTGTGGGCCTGAGTGGTAGCTGAACTGGTCAGTCCAGGTCACTGGAACAGCCAGTCTCAGGTAAAGGGTGGAGCCAGATCCCCAATGCCCATGCCCTCAGGATCAGTTCTTCCTAGCCTGTGGTGATGAGGGCTGGCACCATCTCTCTCTAGTGCAGGGGCCAACTCTCCAGTGAGGAGCGAGGCCGGCTCAGGATGGCCTCCTATTTCATCATGAATGGTTCTCTGAGGTGACAGACATCAAGACAGACCCCAGCTACTGCAGAACCGTGGACCCTGACATGACCCCCTGGCAGCAGTTTGGCCCAGATGACATCCTGGCTCTGCGTGGAAGCATAGGCCACCCAGATTGGCATGGCCCCAGGTGGCAGCCCAGACACCAAAAATCTGAATGGCCCTCGATAGCAACAGGAGCCGTGGACATCAACAGCGACCCTGGCTGCAGTAGGGCCACAGAACCAGATACCATCCCCAGTTGCAGCCCTAGCCCGGATGTCACCATGGCACAGTATGAGTATGTGCCACTCAGATCTGTATGGCCCCTGCTGCAGCATGGCCCTTGTGCATCAACATGGTCCCAGGTGGCTGATCAGACCCTAAGCAACCACACGGCCCTTGGTTGCAACCGGAGCCACAGACACGACTCATACCCTGGACGCTGTAGTTTTGTGGACCCAGACATGTCCCTAAGCAGCAGTCAGGGCTCAGAGGACACCATGGACCCAGGTGGCAGCACAGATCATTCATACCAGCATGGCTCTGGCCGTGGCATGGCCCTTGGACACCAAAAAGGCCACAGGTTGCAGCCCAGACTCCAGGCTCCCGTGTGAACTGAACATGTATTTTTAATTATTTTATTATGACTGCCCTAGAACTCACTCTCACTCTGCAGACCAGACTGGCCTCAAACTCCCATCCACCAGTCTCTGCCTCCTGAGTGCTGGGACTAAAGGCATGTGCCTGATGTGCCTTAACTTCTGAGTGCTGGAATTACAGGTGTAAGCCACCATGCCAGCTGATACATGTCTTCTTTATCCATTCATCTGTGTGCATCTGTGTGATTCCATATCTGCCTATTATAAGTAAAGTTACCCTGACCATGAACTCCTCAGGATTCTGGTTTCATTTGTGAATTCCTCTGTAATTTTTTTCCGGTACTTTCTATACTGTTATAGACCAAGTTGCATTTCCATTCAGTATAACAGGATCCTCTTGTCTCCTTGTCCTTTTAAATGTATGTTATTTTTCGTTTGTGCAGGCATGAGGCTGTGGGAAATGTAAAAGAAATGTACTGGATTTTCTACGAAAGAGTTAAATAAGACAAAACTCCTGTGCCGTTGTGTGCGTGTGTGTAATAAAGAAGCTGCTTGGCAGGAACTCAAATTCACTCAGAGTCAGCACTTCTTGAAATCAAAATATGTGCTCAGGTTTCATTTCTCCCTAGAATCTGCAAATTGTATAAGAATGTGAGGCACGGGACCTCCTTTCCCTTAGAAATAAAATCCTAGTAGGGCCCCCACTGGGTGTGCTTGCCTAATTGATTTGGCACAGCTATGCCCCCTTCTGCAGAAGGAAAACCTTTTTGTCTAACTTGGATAATGTGGCCAGTCATTTTCTTGAGACCTTAGGTCCATTTCTTACAACTTGGTGCCAAATGTACAGCTCTCTCTGAGACCAAGGATCTTGGGGACAGATTCCCATCCTAGGAGGTGCACACCCCAGCCTTGTTGGAGGGGCCCTGGATGTGGAGACACTCTCTGGCTCCAAAATCAACAGAAACCCTGGATCAAAAATAAAGCCACAAAAAATGAGCTTCGTGACTAAGCCCCCAGTGTGGGGTTGAAGGTGGGTGTTGTTGAATAACTCCAGGAAGGAATAAGATTTGAAAATTCTCCCTGTAATTATCCCTAATGATCCATTAGGATAAATGGTAAGTTTCTGGGAACACAGCACCTGAAGCAAAAAATTAATTGATTAATTAATAAAAATCTTAGAACTGTTTTGGTGGTCAGGACATCTTAAAGGTTTCATGGCTATTCAGAAATGTGCGAGATTAAAGTATCTGTGAACTCTCAAGCTAAATTTCTCAGATAGGACTTGGCCGGAGATGAAGAAAGCAGTTTGGACAGAGTACGAGAAACTTCCATGTGGACCTACAGGGGTGCTGATCTGGAGCACACCCTCATATGGTGTAAGGTGGTCTACATGGACTCTGTCCTGGAGCTATCTAGTCAGGAATTTGCTGTTACCCACCAGTAGCCAAGAAAGAGGCCTCTGTGAAATATCCTTAGAGTTTTCAGGATAGAAAAAAGAGGGAAGGAGGTTAAGCCTCTGATTGAGACAACACAACACAAAATAGGGATAGGACAATGGGCTTCTCCTTCCAGCAAGGGGAGAGATAAAAGACCTGAGACCAATAAGAACAAATCTTCCAGATAGGCCTCTGGTACACATGTTCCAGTAATAGGAAGATAATGCTTGAACCAAAGGAAACAGATGCCTCTGATAGAGGCTCAGTGGTATGGGACGGCAGATCAACAGGATCAGTTTTGGGGCCCCAATTCTGTACCTGGCTAAGCTGATGTCTCTCTAGTGAAGAAACTAGAATAATCATAGAAATATTACTAATAATAGACATAGGCCTGATAATAGGAACTGAAGAGGTTTCTTGGGAGAGACAAAGGATGCTAAACTATACTTAGAACTAACAGCAAAGCAGGCTTAATTCTGAGCACCCACGTGACAACTCACAACTGTCTCTGATTCCAGTTCCAGGGGATCTGACATCTTTTTCTGACCTCAGTGGGTACTGCATGAATGTGCTGTGCAGACATATGTGCACACAAAGCAGCCATATACATAAACTGTATTACACATAAAACAACAATAACACAAACAGTTGATCGTACATAGCAAGAACCTTATTGGAAGAAGAAATGATCTTTCTGGCTACCTTTGGGGCTGTAGTCCTCTCTACCCTAGCCAAGGGAAGTAAGTCTCCATCATCTCCAACTGTAATTACAGGGTTAACCTAGGGGAACTTTAGACTCTGCATGTGCTTTTTTTTTCCTACTTTTTCTTATATTCAGGGACTATTCTGTCACTTCAAGTTCATTGACTCTGGTGGTGGAGTGGAATTTTTCCCCTAGCTCTCAGACTTAAAAATTAAAATAAATAAACAGTTAAAGTTCAAGTGGAGAGGAAGCTTTCTTACCCTGTGGAAACTTGGAGAACTTTCTTGGGTGAACAAATGTATGTGTCCTAAATTTTCCTCCGATAGGTGTCCTCCACATCATGATTGTGATGATGCATTTTAGGACACTATACTGTGAAGGGAGTGTCTCACTGATGGATCCCAAGCATCTTGGCATAAGTCCTAGAAAATGCCAAGACAAAATCTGAATAGTGAAGGGCAATCCAGGAAACTGCAAGAACCTTCTGTGTAACTTTTTTTTTTTAAAGCAAAGTCTCATTCATCATCATTCATCACTGGGATATATGGCCTATGTGTATATGAATTTTATTAGGGAAATAGAGACTCTGGGAATATTTTTCTGTAAGGGTAGTTACCCAAACTAGCCCCAATTCTAAGCCAGAGATTCCTAAAGATGACTCAAAAAATGCAGGTAGGGCTGGAGAGATGGCTCAGAGGTTAAAAGAACTGACTGATGTTCTGAAGGTCCTGAGTTCAATTCCCAGCAACCACATGATGGCTGACACCCATCTATAATTAGATCTGGTGCCCAGAACACTATATACATAATAAATAAATTAAAAAATGCAGGTACTAAAAATTAAAGATTTAAGCTGGATGATGATGGTGCACGCCTTTAATCCCAGAACTCAGGAGGCAGAGAAAGGTGGATCTCTGAGTTCGAGCTCAGCCTAGTTTACAGAGCGAGTTCCAGGGCAGCCAGGAATACACTGAGAAACCATGTCTCAAAGAAAAGATAGATAGATAGAAAGAAAGAAAGAAAGAAAGAAAGAAAGAAAGAAAGAAAGAAAGAAAGAAAGATTGATTTAAGATAGACAAATAGATAGTAAGGATTGAAACTGGCTGGAATAGATCAA